TGGCATCTTCAGAACACCTCTTACTTGTATAGAGCATGTGTGATTTTTGCGTGGTTTAATTTAATTTTTGTTTTGTGGGGCCTTTGTTTGGCTCTTACCTTGATTTGTACAGCCAGAGCTTAACGTGTGCTGGCACCGTCCGTGTCCTTTACTCATTGTGCCGGTGGATGAGGGATGGGAAAGGTACATTAAAGAAACTGGCAACAACTCCCTGGCTTGGTGTGCAGACAAGTGCTTGTATTCTCCACCCCTTTCTTTCGAGCATCTCGTTCAAGCATCGATCCTTTAGTCATATTGAATGATAGAGTTGTATGTCAGCGCTGCTGTTTGCCTAACTTTTCAGTTCATCAGTAAAAACCCAGTAAAACTGCTTTTTTAGCTGTGTTGAGTCTAGATGCAGCTGTGAGGAAGCTTGGAGTGTCTAAGCTTTGCACCAGGTAACCTGACATGTTGAGACATATTGGTACAATGAGGACACTGATTTGGGCCTCTGCTGCTGCTTGGTGCAGGACTGGACAGCTGGCTGAAGGGGCACCCTTCTACAGGGAATCAGAAACTTAGAGTGAATGACTGGCTGATGATACTCTTGCACTTTGCTTGCACTTGCACGTGAGAGACTGTCTCTAGAAAAGCCTCTGTGCAGCTCAGCTGGTGCACCCTGAAGGCTCCCTGAACTCTGCGCTTCCCTTCCCAGAGAGGCCTGAGCTCCAGCTGTGGTTAATCACATAAATTTGGTGCTTGAAATACAAACCACAAACCTCTTTAATGCTGTCCTCTGTTTCTACTTCACAGCTCGGGGGCTTTGGTCCAATAAAACTTGTATTAAGCCTAAATAGACGTCCCACAGACTATAACTAGTTCTTTTAGAACACTAAGGCAGTGGAAATGCCAGCCAGCAACCCAAGGCCAGTCTGTCTTTATTCACTATTGCCTGTGTTGTGGGAGAAGATCCTGTATTCACAGTAATTGGAGCCCTTAGGTAGAATTATATAGTTGGAGCCAAGATTTTATTAGGATATTCTCTAACTAGTTTAAAAACAATTTGCAGAAGCTAAAGGATAAACTGATTTACCCTTTTGGCTAATAACAAGGCAGTTAATGAGTCATACTAGGTACATAGAGTGATAAAAAAGTATTGTTTATTTTCAACATCCAAAAATTACTTATCTTTGGTTCTGTGACTTAAAGTCAATATCAAACCTGGTGACTTTATCAGGTCTTAGCGTAATGTCAAAAAAGAGCTAGTGTAATACTTGTAAAATGCACCCTGAACACATTTCATCAAGCATTTTCTGCCCCCAGTTATAAGCAAGTGCTGTAAACAGCAACTTTCTGGCTGATAGTCTGTAAGAGGGAGCGAACCGTCTCTTCCAGCACCACCAACTGCTTGGCTTTGTCTTCCAGAATTTTTTGGTTGTTTTCGTATGTATTTTCCAAGTCTGTCAGCAAAACAATGGAAAAAAAAGAGGTTAATCGGGGAGGTTTTCATACATTAACATGTAAAATAATTATTGTTATGGGTAAACTATCGCTGAAGCTTATATCATTGTGGAAAAGAATGTCACTGAGGAGAGGAAAAAAAAAAAGGCAAAGTCTTTGTGGTTTTGGCATTTTTTTTTCTTACTCCTGCAACATAAGCAAGGACGTCATTTTGCACAGGTGGAAATCCAAAAGATTTCTTTGACAAGAATTGTCCAAATCGGTTTAAAGCCCATGTTTTTTGCAGAACATTGCAAGGTTTTGACTTGTGGTCAAGACTAACCCGTGAGTCACTGTAACTTGCACGGGTGGTTTAGGGGAAGAAGAATGGGTTCCTGGCCTGGCAAAACGTAAAGAAAAGGCAGCTTCCTCCCTTTGTGCCTTGGGGCAGGTTTTTTGCTTTCTTTGGAAGTCTCTGCTGTGTCCATAGGAATAAACAAGCAGATCAAACCTCGGTGACAAGGAAGTTCTGGGGTTATTTTCTGCTCCTACTGCTGAGGCGAAGAGCAAGATCCTGCCTAGAGCCGAGGGGCCGCGTTGCTGCCGGAGCAGCCCTACCTTGGAGCAGCTGGAGCTTGCTGCTCGCCTGGGCCAGCAGCGCCCTGGCCTCGTCCTGCAGCTGCTCGGCCTTCCTCCTGGCCCCGGCCGACTCCTCCGTCCTCCTGGCGATGAGCTCCTCCACCGCCTGGTACTTGCTGCTCAGCTCGCCGCTCAGGACCTGTTGTGCGCGAGTGGAGCGCGAGAGGGAGCCCGTGAAACGACTCTGCGCGCGGGAGCGGGCGCTGCCGGCACCGCCTCGCTGTACCGGTGCGGGTAAGGACAAGGGGAGAGGCTGCCGGCTCGGTGAGGGGACAGGGGGTTGTGGTGTCTCCTCCTCGAATACAACTTTAATAATTAGGGTCCTCTTTGCAGACCTGTGGCCCTCTACAGCTTTAATACTAGTGTTTCTGAAGGATTTACAGGATTTACAATTTTGTTAACTAATGGAAGCCGAGGGCCCTTGTGCAGCTGGAAAGCTGCAGGAGAGGGTGAGGAGGGGGCTGAAGGCTGGTAGGGATGGGCACCCCTGGTGCCCCTTCAGGAACAAGAGCTGCCTTGTTCACACGGCGGGGGTGCTGCGGCACACGCGGCGCTGGCCCTCAGCTCTGGTTCTCTTTACAGGCTAAAGTTAAGAAAACTGGGACCAAACGGAAGGCAGCAACGAAGCAAGTTCACAAGCTGCAGCACCGCAGCGAGGCTCCTCTGTTTGCCTGGCAGCCACCTGAAATACTGTGTGCAAATAACTGCCTCGATGGATAATGTTTCTCCTGACAGAAAACTGCTCTCTTGAGACTGAGGGCTTATCTACAGTCCCCAGACTGGGGCAATGGGACTTCCTTTGACAGACTAGTCAGTTGCTTAGTTAAGAAATGTGCAAATCTTTGGGTATTACAGAGGTGAAGGTGAATAGCAGACACCTGCAGAGATGCCATCCAGCATCTTGAAAGGACTGACTCATCCTCTTTGATATTTAAAAAATGACTCCTGTTTAGACGGAGCCCAGGATTTTTACCTCTTAACTTATTTCACTTATAGTGGGAATATAAGGAGCAAAGAGGGGAGCAAAGCTTTCTCTCCTGCAGCAGATAGTAAAGCCAATGCTCAAAAGCAGACAGTCAGTGTGACAGCAAGATTTATCTTCTGCCACTGCTTTGGAACTTGACAACTTCCTAATCCTGGACCTGAACAGGATCAAATATACTCAGTGAGGTATCCTGGGCCCAACCTGGGCGCTGAATATTGCTGATCTTCCCTTAGGATACTCCCCAAATTTCCCACCTGTTTAACTTCTTCAGCGTTTTGCTTTGCAACACCGATTTTTTCTTCTATATCGTCCACATTCTCTGAATTTGTAGTAGCCTTTTGCTTAAGATCTTCAACACTCTTTTCCAGGTTAAAGAGGCGTAAGGTTGCATTGTTCAGCGTTTCTTCAGACACGGAATTTTCAGATTCAATCTAACCAGGAAAAGGAAAAACAGTTATATTTTCCAAAATACAACAGATACCACACTATGCTTGCTGGGTAAGCCCTATCACCTCTAATCCAATCTGTCACAGATCTGAGATAAAAATCAGTGTTTTATTCTTGTTAAAAATGGCTAATCGCAGTGAGGGTGAAAGAGCCTACCTTAAAGATAACATAGGGCTACAAAAACCATTAGGAAACTTAGCTAAAAATGACTTGATTCTGTCACACAGGGGTGAGAGTTGCCTAATCAGCAGCAAAACTTCAGCCATTGGGTTCCATCATTTAATAATGACCTTGTGGGGTTGTGTGTCTTCTGAGCTGACTGGACTTCATGGGTACAGCACTATGGTGGCAGTAGGGCTATGACGAGCTGTTGAAATCTCTAAATATAGTACCTGACAATATTACAACTTTTTTTTTTTTAAACAATCTCCTCCTGCCCCAGTATGACCAATATATTACCATGCTGTGCTCGCTCTGTATGACTTCCTGGGTGATCTTGGTGTCCCTTGGTTACAGGGCTCTGATCCTGCTCATTTCACTTCACTGGTGCTGAATAAGGGGTAAGAAAAGCCTTTTTTCTAAGAGCAAATGAGCCCCTAAGCATCTGACCTACTAACTTAAAAAGCTTATGTGGAGGCAGGAAAGGTTTAGAGTCATTTGAATGCAGTCTTTGATGTGTTGTACTGAAGGGCTTTCCCCAGAGAAGCTGACACTGGTTTCAGTCGGTGTTTTTCTATCTTAATAAATACTCTGTAAGAACTCACTGAGGTCAGCAGGTCTTGAGTGCCTTTAATATCTTCATCAGCTTGTTTGATGGCTTTTTCAGCTGCATTTTGAGCTTTTTCAGCTTCTTCCAGTGCTGCTTTCACCATATCTGCAGTGACTTTAACATCTGTTGCACCTTTGCTGTGGAACAAAAAATATGCAAGCACTGAAAATGCATTCACATTGGCACTGGACAAAGAACTGGAAAAAGACAAGTACAGCGGAGGGCCATTTTTGCCCTCCGGGCATAAGTTAAACTCATCATTTTTCTGACTTCTGTCAGAAAGACAGAAAGCTGCTGCTTTCCTCCAAGCTGCTGGTGCTGGAGAACACTGCTCATGCAGCCCCAGGGCGCATACCTGGCTTTTTTAGCCTCTTCCAAGAGCATTTCAGCGCGGGCGATGTCCCCGGCGCTCTGCTGCAGGATGACCTCGACGTCGGACAGACTCTCCACGCGCTCCCGGATCTCTTCGGTCAGCGCCTGCAGCTGCTGGGGGGTGCTGGGCATCTCCATGGCGAGCACCTCGTTAGCCACCGCCTCGATGCTGTCCAGGTCAGCGCTGTCCTCTAGCGAACAGCACAAAGATACACGTGAGTGAGAGCTTCCTGAAGGCCGCTGCCGAGGCTCAGCACTCCAAGTGCTGCCTCACTGCTCCTTAAAATAACAAAAGAACTTTTTTTTCCCCCAGGACTTGCAGGAAAGAGAGGCATTAAAACCGCTTTCTTGAGGGGAAACTCCTCTCTAAGGCAGAAGCAGAGGCCCTGGGGCTCTCGGTGACCAGCCACCCCAGGCTAGGAGTGGGAGCTGCCGGGAAAGGAAGCCACGAGCCGCTCACAAATGTGTCTGTGCTGAGAGCAGCCTCGGTCTTGCGCAAACAGGCGAGGACAGGGGTGCTCTGGGCAGCTCAGCCATAAGCAAGGCCCTTGTTTGACCCTTCCCTATGCAGTGAGAGAGAAACTTGGGGCTTCCACTTTCCTTCCCTTTAACAGAACTTTGTCTTTCTAGCCAGAAGCTAGGAACTGACTTGGCAAGCTGCCAACACCCAACTGTCTCTGCTGACACTAGCAGAATAAGCCGTTGCAGGCTGGCCTGGCTTCCCATTGAGTTGGTTTTCTCTCGTTTCAAGATTTCCTCATATGCACTAAGGCTGGCTGAAAAGGGGAATTATTGTGTTGCACCTGGAGGATGAGTCAAGAACCATGGATATGGTTTTCACAAACTAAAACAGAACTAAACAGGTAATTTAAATGTAAGGTTTTTACCCATGAGGAAGTCTCTGATCTGTTTAATGAGATTTCTCAGATCTTCGTTGCTTCTGTCCACTTGCTCCTTCGTAGCGTTGGTTTTGAGCAGAACTTCCTGGGCGTTTTGTTTTGCTTCGTCTGCTCTCTGCTTCGCCTCAGAAACCTGCAGTGTAGAAAGAGAGGACTTGATTTCCTTTTTGCTTTAAGGCCTGTTTTACAACAAAAATTCAGTTGGAGTCAGAGGTAATGGTAGTGGGAAATGATTTCCTCATAAAACTCACTGAACACTTTTAAAAGCTGGCTGCAATCCACAACAGCGTTAGTTTAAACAACTGAGGCTAATGTTTAGAGATACGCACGAAACTTCACTATAACAAGCTCATTTTGCAGGGAGCTTTAAAAAGTATTAAAAAAATATAGCAAAGTTACACAACAGTGAAGAAGCATTTTGAAGTAAGCCAGGCACAGACTTTGCCCATTAGCATCTAAACTTGTGTTGCAGCTAAAATATATACTTTTTTTTTAATATCTAACACTTGCTTTGGCACGTTACCATTTTGGAGAGCTGCTCCACCTCGGCCAAGGCGCTGAGGATGTCTCTGTCGAAGTCCATGGCCTTGCTCCAGGCGCTGTGCGCCGCCGTGACCAGCCCCGCGCAGCCGGGGCCGCCGCACGGCCCTGGGGGCTCCGGCAGCTCAGGCCGCCGCACGCCGAGTCGGCGCACGGGAGCCCCCCGGGCGCTCCGCACGTCTAGGGACATGGAGCGAGACAAGGGGTTATTTCTGCTGCTGCTGCCTCTGGCTGGTTTGCAAGGAGAAGGGACACAGCAGGAGGCTCTGCCACCTGGAAAGCCATCTTCCCTCCGCTGGGAAAAAGCTGCCAGGCCCAGGAAGCTATTTTGTCAAGAAGGGGAGAGAATATCTGGTGCAGGATCTTACCTTTTACCTGCTTTAGCACACCAGAAATAGGGGAGGAGAGAAGCTGAAAAGCAGTTCTTAGAGGATATCAAAAAAAAAAATCCCCTTTTAGTTTGTCTCCTTTCCATTCTCCTGATGTTTGCTCTGAGTTGATTTTTCTAAAACACTTTTTTTTTTTTTTTTTTAAAGTTTTTTAAGTTTGTGAATTGTTGTCCCAGGCTGAGCTCTCACAGAAAATCTGTCTGGATTGTGGGTTTTTGTGCTCTTTCCTCACACCTGGGTCAATTGTTTGGACGACAGCATTGCTGAGGAGCAGCTGCAGCCGGACGGAGATCCGGGCAGTTCCCTGTTCCTGCGTGGTGCCGTTCCCTGCCAGCCCCCATGCCAAGCAGCTCCCCGGGCAGCGAGGCCTGGGCCAAGGCAGCTGCAGCTGCAGTGTGTGCAGTGTAAAAGGTTCCCTCTCACCTGCTTGGCATGCACCTCGGCAGGAGCTAGAAAGCAAAAAGGCTTTTCTTGGTGCCCCGTGATCGCGCCTCCCAGCAACTCATTTTTTTACAGCGCTGATAAACATCTCCCCAAGATGTTCAGTGCGCAGGAACGTGCTCGGCAGGAACGCGGCGAGGGGGAAACCAGCCAGGAAGCTGCCTCCTCCCCGGGCTCGAGGGTGAGGTGCACGGATCGGCACCACGCCAGGGGCCGAGGGACCTGCCACTGCCTGAAGACGAACCCCCGCTGCCCCCCCTCAGCTGCAGGCTGTCCCCACAGGGAGTCTGGGGGATGCCCTGACCCCTGGAGAAGCCACCTTGGGAATGTGCAGCTCTGTGGGCTGCACCCAAGAGAGTGGGGTCAGAGCGGGGATGAGGAAACCATGGTTGTGCTATGGGATCTGGGGAGAAGCAGGCAGGAGACCGAAGTGAGGGGCTGATGCTTGGAAGTCCTTAGCGCCCCTAGGTTGAGCAGCCCTGTTCAGGCTCACAAAACGCCCTGAAAGCCATGAAACACACACACTCCCCACAAACAGACTGTGATCCCACACACTGCATGCCCCAAAGGGTTTGTTCCCCCCCCGTCCTCTCCTCACAAACCAGATTCCGGTGTTGTTAGAGGTCTGATCCAACCCGTGTCGCCCTCCTACCTTCTCAGCGACTTCGGAGAGGTCGAGGCTTTGCAGCTTGCCCGCCAGCTCGTCGAGCAGGCGCGACTGCTCCTCCTGCCTGGCCTTGAACTGGGCCTCCCGCTCCTGGATGAGGCCTTCCACGTCCCGGCGCGTCTGCGCCGACATCTCCACCGCGCTGCCGGGCTGCACAGTGGAGCCGTTCACCCTCTCCTCTGCCTCGAGGGACATCTGGAAGTACTTGGTGATACTGTCCAAGGCTCCTGCAGAAAGCGACCGAGCGGCTCAGCAATTATTTGATCAGTAATGCCAAATAATCTGGATGACACGGCTGGGTTAGCCTGTTCTTTTACCTATCTGGATCTCAGGTTAAATGAAATGCTGGCCTTTGCATTTGCACTCAGTGCTACAGTAGTAGGGATGACAAGATTCAGCCCTTCACAAGAAAAAAAAGCTCATTTTTGCTAGGTTGAGTGTGTGAAATATGCTGGAATTGAAAGTTTTAATTTCTCTGACCTAGTGATTAAATTCTGCTTATCTTGATGGGAAAAAAAAGGAAAAAAAGATCCAACCCACTAGGTTTACAGGACAACAGCTAATTTCCTGCAGCCCCACTTCTCTCAGCTCTCTGTTTGCCCTGGGATGTCTTGCCCATGGAGTCACTGCTTGGAACTGCTGCCTGCTGAAAGGCGCTGATTTACGAGCGCTGCCGTTAGCTCTGCACAGGCCCCGGAGGCGCCCGGGCTGCCCTGCGGCACAGACTGCCGCACGCCGGCGGCTCCAGCAGTTCTGCATCCCGGCCACATCGCTCCAGGAGATCCCACGTGCCCTGGAAATGGACTCCGACTTCCTGCCAAGCTTGGAATCTTTCTTTTCAGCCTTTGTCTCCAGTTGGAATCAAGTCAGCTTTCCAAATTTCCCAGGATTTTGGTAACATTCCTCCAGCTCCAGCAAATTTCCACCCCCTGCCTGATGTTTGTCAGCTGGATGAGCCAATGGGCACGTGAGCCTTGAAAAAGGGGCCCTTACAGTGTGCTCTGATTTGAGAAGACTCAGGGGGTCCTTCCAACAGAAACAGGCATTTAACAACATGGGGACAGGTATCATGTGGACTCTTCTGTCACACCAAGGCTCACACCAACAGCCCAAGGCAGCTTTGCAGTGTGCAGAGGGATGGGGAAGGGGATGCATCAGCAACTCTGTTAATACACAGAAAGGAGCTGCCCTCCTAGAGACATGAGTTTTATTTAAAACCACATGCAGGTTAAATCTGCTTTTGGTGTCCCTCCCTCGACACCTACCCCGCACATCAGAGATCTTGATGAACTCCAGCTGCTCGGCGAGCTCCTTCACGACACGGTCCAGGCTCTTGGCATCGGTCTCGAGCACGCTCAGGTCCGTGTCAGTGCTATTGCTTTTCAGGGCTAATGCTGAAAGGCTTTCCTCCAGGTCAGCTATCTTAACCGTAACATCTGCTGTCAGCTTTCTGTAAAACAGGGGCGCCCGGACTCAGGGGGCTGCAGCGGAGAGCGGCGTTTCTCCCGCAGCGCGACCCGGCCTCCCGCGCTGGAGTGGTGATTTGTAACAACATGCCTGCCTCGAACACTGCGTTTGTTTCCTTTATCGCACACAACTGCTTCTTAATCTACAGCACATTTATAAACTCAAAGCACCAAATTGCTCAGAAAACAGCTGCTTTGTGTGAGATTAACTGGAGGCAGATTCCAGAGCACTGCTGTAATGCGCTTGTACCATAGCAACTGCACAGGTCAAAGTTGACTACTATGATCCATACATAATTTGCTTCGCGTCCCACACAGCTACAAATGCAGTTTTGATTACTACAAGCTCATGGGACAGACTGGAACTTTAGGAAAGGGGGGGAAAAAATGCCTTGCTTGTAACACAATGACTTCTTTTAACTCGCCTATGAACAACCCTCCTCAGCAGCCACTTCTCTAGGGCTGTGCAGAAAAACTGCCTGCTCTCAGCATTCAGCATGGCCTTAGTAAGCCACAGAGCAGGTTTTAGTTTGTGGGATAACCCTAAAAGGAAAGGCAAATGTATCCCTCAAGTCGGCACAGCTGCAGAATCAAGCTGGGCATAAGAACTTATTCCCAGGGTGACTCACCAAAAGCGTTTCCTCATCCTGAAAGTATCAGGCAATTCTTAATCTCTAGGTCAATTTACATCCCCCCCATTTGTTAGCTCAAGAGCCTCTTCCTTTTCCACAGTCCTGCAAAGCCCAGTGCTTTCTTGACAGCTCAAAAGAGGACCAAGAGCAGCTACTTACATGCAGTGTAAATAAATACATATATACGTATGTTAGGAAAAGCAGCTCTGCAGCTGTTCTAACCACTCTCGATACCCACAGAGCCCAAGCGTATGAGCAGCCCCCAGCTCTCTGCCTGCAGCGGGGAGCATCTGTAACTGAGACATCTGTGCTCTAATGTGCTCTAATCCTCTCCTCTCTGCTTTGTGCAGCCCGTTTAACCCTGCACGAGCGAGCTCTAACAGTTGCACACAAGCAGAAAACACCCGCTCAGTGTGGATGTTGAACTTCCGAGATGTCCAAAAGCACAAGCTACCTTCCCGTGCGGGCTCAGGTTTAAAATAAAACACAGTGAAAAACGCCAGAGAAAAATGGCAACTGCCACTGTTACAGAGCATCCCTCTCCGTGCTGGCTGAACTAGACCGAGCCGCGCAGGGCCCCTGTACTCACTCTGCCTCCTCAAAGAGGTTGCCGATGTTCTTCAGGGGCTCCGCGGCCGGGTTTTGAGCGACGATGCTTTTAATTTCGCCCAGCTTCTCCTCCAGCACGTCGAGCGTCTGCTGGTAGGGGCCGGTGACGCCGGTGACCTTCAGCGCGTTGGCTCTGTCCAGGAGCTGCTGGGTCCTGTTGGCCAGGGCGCCCACGAGCAGGTCCCAGAGGGCGAAGCACTCGTGGCAGGGCACGCAGGCAGGGAAGAGGCCCGAGTAGCCCCGGCTGCACTTGTCGCAGCGGGGCCCTTCCACCCCATCGTTGCAGATGCAGCGGCCCGTGGCGCGGTCGCACTGCGGCGTCTGGACGCCCCGCGGGTTGCAGTCGCACGCTGCGAGGGCACAAAGGCAAGGGAGGCGTCAGGGAGGCAAAGGCCTGCAAGGCAGCAGGGAGAAAAGGAGAAGAACCGGGTCGTAATGAAGGGAGGAAAGGAAGAGAGAGGAGGGCTGCGTATGGACTGCACGGAGCTGGTCACGGAGGGCGCTGGGTGGGGAAGGGAGAGCCAGGGCTGCATGTAAGAGGGGAGAGAGTGGAGGAAATAAATCTAGGGAGACACAGAGTGCCCAGTTTGCATATCTTGGAGGTAGATGCAATGTAGGAGCAGAAATGACCAGTTCTTCCAGTGCTGAAGATCATCGGTTTGAAAGGAACTGGAGGCAAAGATCCCAGTTGGGCTTCTGTTTTGAAGAGTAAGTGAAGTAAAGCTCCCCAGTCTGGCAAAGAAGCAATAAACAGGCACACAGCAGAGAATTTACAGGGAAAAAAAAAAAGGCAAGACGAAAAACTTAAAAAAAGAAATAAAGCTTCCCCACCCTCTCCAGCCCAGAACTGGGGCCAAATGAGGCTGGCATGCGTGCAGCAGCCAGCCCCAGGCTGATGTTTTGAGTGTGCAGAGCAGGTAAAAAATATATAAGAAAAAAAGATCAGGCAGTGAAAAGCAGAAGAGAAAGAAAGAAGCAAAACAGAGCGATAAGCAAGGTGACCTTGTCTAAGGGGAAAGATGGTGTCTTCGCTGATATGGCTGCTGATGACCAAGAGGGGCTGCACACACAGCTTGTCATGGTCAGGGGAGAGCAAAGCTCTTTAGCAGGTTACTGAGGATTATCTCAGGAGGCAGCATTTGCACTTTTCTCAAATGGATTTTCATTTTACTTTTGCAACTATCAAACCCCGCCTTATTTTTAAAAGCTAGTCAGGTGAGACCCAGCAGCTCCAGGTGGCTTGCCAAATCAACACGATAAGGTCTGGGCAACTCCCTTTCCTAAAAGGCTTTTAGAAGAAATATGCATTTATTTGGCACTAACCCACCACAAAGAGAAGTCACTCCATTAATGCACTTCTGCGCTGTCATTTTTAAGAGCACGGCCACGCTCCGCGCACTGGAACGCTGTCAGGAGCAGCACTTGCCACTTGACCTCTCCCCCTCCCTCATTACCCAGGCAGGAGAAGCAAAAGAAACTGCCAAACTGCAAAGATTTCACTAAAGAGCTGGCAGCAGAGAATAAGAACAACAACAAAAAGGTCTTGCAAATATGCAGGGACTCATCCCTGCCTACTGTCATGGTATAATAAACTCCAGGGCAGGAAAAGGGCTGTAGTGCCTGATTGAAGCCTTCACTTACCCATCAGTTTACCAGGCACCCTTGAGAAAAGTTTAACAAATATGAATGATCCAAAATGGTCCATAAATCAACATAGACACCCCCAGCACATTGGAAGGCCTCCCCTGGTGACGTGAGCATGTCCCCTTGAAGAAGGGCAGAGCACAAAGCAGCTCTCAAGATCCTGCACTGTTGGTTTCAGTGTCTTCAGTTTAAGAAATGACTCAGAGACCCTCGGGGAACAACCCACTCCTGGGCAAAATGGCTTTCTTGTGTGAGGAGCACGACAGGAGAGAGACCGAAATAACTCCTGCTGCCTGCACAATCGAGCAAAAGGGGCCTTTGTTCTTTGAATTACACTCTGACCCAACAGATTGTTTTTACTTTACATCAAAAGTGCTTAAGCAGTCAACTTGCCATGGGATATGCTCCCCGCAGGCAAACTGTCAAGTTCCTGTTTGAAGGGGGGCAGTTAAACCTTCTGGCGACTACTGAGGCCCTCAGAATAATGGCGAATTGTCCAAATTCCACCGCCAGGAAAGAGGGTAAACAGTGGGTGGTTTTCTCAAGGATCCCGGGATGCGATCAAGTTACACGAGTACTTGCTGCTGGCAAAGCAGGCCACTATATTTACTTGCAGATTTAAAAAGCTTAAATGGAAAAAAACAAAAACCAAAAAACAGAAAACCAGCCTCATCCTTGTGGTAATTCTACCCCTGAACACCTGCAGAGTTAAGGGAAGGCAGGGCACAAGACTTCACTAACATTTACAAGACAATGCGAATTCCCAAATCTCCAGAACCAGAAGGGAATTTAAGCACCAGCTCATTTGCAAAGTCAAAATCCAACCCCCACAGTTGCCTGAAGGGAGAGGATAAATAACAGGGGAGCAATTTACTCTAAATGCAGCACAGCAGTTGGAAGAATCATCGGATTTCTGGAATTCCCTCAGCTTCGCCACTGTGCTTTGTGGCACACAGGATGATAGGAAAATCACCATGGGTTAGTTGTGGTTTGGGATCCTCCAGCAAGCATGGGAGCAGAGAACGCTGGCTCCGAGCTAGCTCTGTAGTGGGAGTCCAGCACACGTACCTTAGCTTTCCTATGTGCTGCCTTCATGTTTTCCCCTTCTACCTCACGAAATTCAAGTCATTAACTCTTCACTGGACTGCACTTTATCCCATACCAAAGGTAAAACTGAAGCTATTTTTATCTCTGCTTTTAAGTAAATTTAAAAGGAAAATGAGAAAAAGTCTTCCTCAGGACTGGTGTAAGACAAAACAGAAGATTTTATTTTCTTTTGGAAAATCTGGGAGGCTTTTCTACAGGTCCGTGGTGTGGCCTCCCTAGCAGCAGCCCATGGCCAGTTTATTAATGTGCCACTGACTGCAATAATCTTCAAAAAGCATCCTCGCTCCTCTCACAGCCCACATGCTGTGAGCCCACATGCATCCCCTCATCTTGGAAATATGCCTGGGTTTGATTACTTTTTATCATCTTTTTTAGAAGCATAGACCATCCCAGGGCAGCTCTCCCAGCTTAACCATCCGTGTTGCCCTGAGACCTGTGGAAGCCGCAGCTTGGTTGCTGGATGCCCCCCTAACAATAAAACCACACAGTAGTTCTTCTTCTGCTGGCCAACGCTGCATGAGACAAGAGGTCCACCTTGTTCTGGACCTCCAGCAGAGAGGAAGCCATAGTTGTGACCCACTCACCACCAGCAGCCTATTTCACACCCCACCACGGAGTAAGTCCCAGGGTCTTAGAGGGAGCACCTTCCCCTTCACACCTTGATGGGGTTTAAACCCTCCACTGAGTTCAGCTGCAGCCAGTTATTGCGAGGAGGTGAGCAAGACTGAGCAAAAGCCACATGAGGTAGGTATTGAGGAACATGCTGGCGTTCCCAGATTTAATGGCACAGACCCTCACAAGGAACCTGGCAGTGCCCAAGAAGGGACAAAAGGCTCAATGACAGCAGGATGGTCCGTGTGAAAGGACAGGAGCTCCTAGGTGGTACGGGCTGCAAAGAGCCATGACAGAAGAGTAGCCACGTGCTGAGCTACGTGTCCGTGATGGTGGACACACCTCCATCAAAAGGATCCACGCGACCTTCAACTACTATGGCAAACAAACCAGGGTATGAAAACATGAAACTTCCTGATTCACTTGACTTGCTCAAAACAGCACACATGCTGGGCCAGTGTGACACAGCACACCAAACCCAAAGTGCCCCAACCAACATCACTGCCAGCTGCAAGGAGCTTTTTCCTCCCTGGCATGTCCTTCAAGGGGCAGGGAGCCCTCCAACAACACCCAGGTTGACTTCCAGCCACTCCTATGGCCACCACGCGTCAAGGTTCATGCTTTTTTAGCATTAATGATGCTGTCTGCTACAGCAATTTTGTTTCTGAGGTCCTCAAATGTGCTAAAGGAAACACATTTTCTTATATTCTTCTAAGCACAGCTTGGCCCGGGGTGGGTTCAGCTCCACCCACCCATTCATCAATCCAAAGTAACACTTGGATATCTGCAGCTGTATCACATCTGTTCTTAGCATGTACCTGGTCATCTAATTTTCACCAAGAGGAACAAGAAATAGGCCAGCACACCCAGGGCTACAGAAGTGTTGCAGATTATTATCCAGTTGCTAGCAATAGCTTTGTACACTACAGAGCAGAACTGTAATAGGGAAAAATATATAAAATCCTGTAAGCTCCTTGTAAATACCACCCTTGTGCTTACGTGCCTGGAAACGGGCAAAAGAGTTTCATTCTGCACCATAAAACTACACAGATGTTGAGTTTAATGTAAGGGATTTAGATGCCCCAGCTGGTTTGAGTGAGAAATGGCCTTTGAGACAAACAGCTGATCATTTTCTTTCCATACAGAAAGGTGGAAGAGGGCTGGGATAAAGAACAACAAGTCAAGGCAGGATAGGTTCCTGACTTGGAAGATGAATGTTAGACAGGGATCAAATCTGTACCTGGGTAAGGAGAGGAAGAATCTCAAGTATCTCCCATGGAAAATAAAATAGTGAAGGGCAAGAGTCTCTTTAGAAATTACTGGCCAAAGATTTGAGGGCTTTCAATGAGGCATATGCTAAATTAAACAATCAGCTACTGTTTTGAAATGTCCATCGGGAACTGAGTGTATTGTTTAATTCAGTGTTTAATTCAGTATGACATTCTTCTCTGGTGCACTATGATTTAAATGAAATTACATTTTTGATTGGGACATTTTCTAACCAAAATGTTTAGATAAGATCTGCTAATTAGCAAAGATAGCTGGTAGTGTCATTTACTCTCAGATACCCACACAGCCATGCATGTACACACTCACAGTGTCTACGGGTAATTCTGACACCAGCTTCATCACTGCATTTTGCTTTCAGCAAATTCTTTCCTGATCTCAAAGATAAAAGCAGCACCCACCTGTGTTTACTGAATTTACCCTGGTAGACACCTAAGAGGAGAAACGCCAAGGAAGCATTGGGTGGTTTGCTTCAAGCTTACAAAGACATATATAAAGCTTTATCTTTCACTCATTCCAACAGCTTTGGGATCTTTCCTTGCAAATATTTAGAAATCACTTTTATTTCTAAAACTACTATTTTTATGTGCCACAAATTTTCGTACTGTTAAGTTTAAGCTAACTTAAACTGGTTGATACTGCAGCTGAGATGATCTAATAGGTTTTGAAAGGGATTAACAGTAACAATCATGTTCTTTAATGCCATATTGTAGGAGCTAGGTACGAGTGTTATCTGTGATTCTCCACAGAACAGAGCGGAAATTATTTTTGCAGAAATATTTTCTTTACTGCTTGGAGCTGGTGATAGAGAGCATCAAATCTTTTACCCCCTCCACAGGCAAGTAACAATAGGGTTGTTCAAGCACAATTTCCTGGCATCATTTCCTGGTGGTAGTGAGCCATGATGATGATAAAACCATTCAGCAATTTGTAAGGTTGAAAGTTTTGCAGTGTTAGCAAATTTCTCCTGAATAATCAGCTATTGATTCAAATTACACTCCAAGCATATGGCTAACTCCTCAGCATTATAATTTTCAGTATGCATGTTAAGATAAGATGCCAGCTAAGATTTAAGAGTTGTGCTGCATTTTAACGTGCTAACAGACCTTGCCAAAAGGGCAATTTTCTGGAAGCAGCCAAAATACACAGTAATATTCTAAGACCACACGTCCATTAAAATTAGGAAACTCAAGTGCAAATTATAACACTTCTAGGGTAGAATTTGTCTGACTTATTCTAAGCACTTATAGTGTGTCTAAAGGACATAAAACATCTTTGATCTTCCTTTGTTTCTCTCCCACCACCTATAAAAGCAACCTACATAACTAGTTTAGCACTCTTTCAGTCTCACACTGTCTTTTACCAACTGTGACCTGTTCTGATGGTTCAATTTCTTAAAATAACAATGATAGTTAAATCACCACCTTCTTTACATTATATAACTCGTATGCACTTCAGAAATATTATAATGAGCATTGCTCAAGCCGCCTGGGCAGCACCACTACATCTCAGAGGCTTCTCGGGAGCTTGCAGCTCTCTGCTGGGAATTTGCTCTGCAGGCTGAGATGAGATGCAGCTCGGCATGCCAAGTCCTGCACTCCTGATGCCAGGCTTTGGAGCTGCTCCAGGAGAATGCCCAGGAGACCTGACTTGGATGAAACTTGTAATCCTGTTATTTACTACTTTAGCAAGGAGTTTCTTACACATGGACACATTCACATGCACCCTTGCCCAGAGTAGCAGATGACTCCTAGATAAAACAGTGTCCAGAAGCACCTCCCAGACCTGATGTAGTTCCCAGACCCGATGTGACTGCAGGCTGAAGATCTGCTGTGAAGAGGCCACCCGTGAACACCCCTGGACCGCTGCATCATGCAACCTTCAGCCTTCTACATTGACTAGCACAGGATCCATGGCCTGGCGTCCACATCCCAGCACAGAGCAGTGCCAGCAGCAGAGACCATCCATCAATACTCATCTGGTTTAGAGTTCTCACAATTCCAGATCCAAATTTGTCTGTATTTTCTTCACAAATGTGGTTGAAAATGTCGCTTTTTTGGCTTTCAGGGCCAACATGAGTGTGCTTTTTTCTCCCTTTTTTTTTTTAAACAAATTTAGACAGCCTTAGCCACTAGAGTGTCATTTGGAGCAGGTCCCACATCCAGGGATGTCCATGTGCTCCAGCAGAGCTGAGGCCTGCCCTCACTGAGCACAGCTAACCCTTCATAACAAACCTCCTTTTGTCTCAATTCCAGCTCAGTTATGGCTGTACTGAACACGTGCTCCATGGGCATTGCTGTGCAGCTCCTTAAACACAGTTTTGCCCTCAGTTCTACCTGCCACAAATCACAGAAACCTGTTTGCTTCCTGCCCAGAGCTGGGAACCCTAGTTACATTTATGTTGGTCCAAACATCACCCTTCCACCAAAAAGGGAACAAACGAGGGCTGCAGTGAGGTGTTTTCTCTCCCTCAGAGGCTGCCAAGGCAAACGGGAGAGGGTGAAGGGAGGAATTTTCCCCCAAGGCCCTGCGGAGATTCCCGCAGTGCTGTCTGGCTGGATGTGCTCCAAGAGGGAGCTCGCAAGTGGAGCCCATCTCACATCTCAGCCCCAGGCACTGGTGGTCACTGCGCTTCTGCAGCCGCCTGCAGACACTGTCCCCAAGGCAGGTCAGCACTGCCCCCTGAGCATGGCTCACTCGGAGCCAGAAGGGAGGACTGCGGAAAGAAAGCTCTGAGCTTTTGCAGAAGAGCTAGGTTCTGAATAATCTCTGCTCTTTTTACTGCAGAAACATTAAAAAGCAAGTTTCCACATGTTCAAAAGACAGCAGAAACTAAACAAAAGGCCAGAAATGCAGGTCTGCAGCAGAACCTTGCTGATAAGGCGTGCAGAGGGACTTCATCAATAATTTGTGATGGAGACCGCTGATACCAGGAGACACTCCTTGCCTGGGGCACTGGGAGCCTGAAGAACTCGCACAGCCTCAGCCCAAACGCTGGATTGCGATTGCGATTAGGAGAAACCTAATAAGTGCTCAGCAACCAGACAACTGCCCGGTCCTTTCATCTTAAGCAGCTGCCAAGTACCTGTGACCCTCCTCTCTCCATAGATAATGGGCTCTAAGGTATCTCCATTGTAAAGGATTTATTAAAAACCACAGCAAGCACATTCCTCCCTGCAGGAAAAAATACCTTAATCTACTGCAAACCCTCCTGGCAAAGGCTCCTATTTAAACAGATCAGAGATACAAGTTTGTTCTGGTCTGGACAGTGTTTGAAGTTTCTTTTCCAGCTAATGAACAGACTTGTTTATAACCAAAGGACAGACCGAATCCAGTTTTCTAAACAATCAGTTTTGTACTGCTATATTTTGTTGTATGTAGCTATGACTGACTAGCTGTCTCTAATCTTATTTTCATTTGAAATAAAAGGGAAATACTCCATATCAAAAATTCTACTTCTGCAACCACATTCTCCCTAACAAGAAGGAAAACACAGAGAGGAGTCTCCTACTACATAAAATCTAAAGACAAAGGACATATATTTCTAGATCGATTCTCCATTCCAAATTCTTTGTTTAAAATATTTTCTTACCAACCCAGTTTACCTGACGGCATCGCAAAGTGAAAATTAAAGAGGTAGTTTCTAAAGGAGTCAGTTTCTGAAGAAATAGGTTTGTTCATAAATAACAGGCCAATAAGCCATAGAACGAAGTACTTAAATCTCATGCCGGGCTCTGGCTAGGACCCTGTGGCATCTCCTGCACAGCAAGCAGCCCCCAAACTCCATGTGCTTCTGTGCCTGTCTGCCACATGCTGGGGCTCAACCATGTCCACAACTCACCTCGACACTCCACGCTGGGGTCGCCCCAGAAGAGCTCCTGGCACTCCCGGCAGGTTCGGCCTCCGAAGCCCGGCATGCACTGGCACTGCCCTGTGAACTGCCGAAAACAGGAGGGCAACAAGCTCAGCACGCACCCTGTGCCCTGCACTTGGGGCAGCTGGTGGTGGTGCACGGCCAGCAGCCCCGAGGGCCAGCAGCTCCAGCTCTGCCAGCAGAAGGGATTTCACACTGGGAGGCTCCATGGCTATAAAAGCACCTTCAAAATGGGATATGGAAGTTACTGCTCCCCAAAGCCAGTGATCATTTCCTTTTCCCCTGAACCAGCTCTCTAGAAGCACCTGGCCGAGCATCCCTAACGCACGTGGGTGTCACCAGCAAGTCGGGGACTCCTGGTGCTTCCGGACACAAAGCTTTGGCAGCAGCCAGCAAGGCAGGACCATTTTATTTAAGATAACCTCATTGCCTGCATCCCTCTTCTCTCCCACCCTGTGTCCCGGAGCCCCCAGGAGCCAACCCGGCACCGCCAGGACAAGCAGAGTGGCACAGCGAGGCGGCCGCCCCTTACCTCGTTGCAGGCGGGTCCCAGCGAGCGGGCAGGGTGGCAGTCGCAGGGCTCGCAGCCAGCGCCGCTGGCCAGGTGCCACGTGTTGGGGGCGCAGCGGTCGCAGGAGAGCCCCACCACGCTGGGCAGGCAGCGGCACTGCCCCGTGGCCGCCTCGCATCGGCAGTTGCCTGCGCCGTCGCACTGCTCCCGCACCGTGCCCAGCGCGTTGCACACGCACTCTGCAAGGAGACGGCCGCCCGTCCGA